TTATTAAAAAATCCAATATAGATAAGCAAGTATAAACTATAGAATTCTTTACTAGCACTATTCAATTGATTGATCATTTTATCTTTAAGTATCAAAAAAGAATGTTATTTGAATGGCAATATATTTGAATTTTTTGACATGGATATTAGCTATTGCTATAGAAAATTATCAACATTTGTATACACATAGTCATTTGTACTATCATATTTAGAGCTATAGGCTGCAATACAAAGTTTACTTTATCTTAGGTGGATGATACTATAGCTAAGAGCAAAATGTGGTAGTCATTACATCTTTTGAAATTATAGGACACAAAAAAACTACTTGAGAGATATTTTGCTATATCTTCAAATGATCATGAGATTCTTGATGAATATATAGCATAAAAAAGAACTTTGTACCTACTAAAATTGTATACCAACCATACAAAATGCCATCTACTTCAAACAAGAATAAAACACCATTAACAATAAAGAATTAAAAATCAAATATGATATTTGAAGGAGGAGTGGAAAGGAAAAAAGAACAAAATTTTTTAAAAGAATTTAAGGATTTTTTTTACTTTTAGATTGAAAGATTTAAGATTTCTTAAAAGTTAAGAAGTGAAGATTGATTTTTGTAGATGATGGTCTTGTATTTTGCAAACTTTATAGATATAATGATGTAGAAAGATAATTGATAAAAATACAAACTAAGAAGCTTTTGGATGCCAAATTGATAGAGATTTCTAACAAAAAATATAAATTTGCTACTATAATGTCTTTTAAAAAAGACATCTTTGGCAACGAGACAAAAAAGTAGATGAATGGTGACTATAGGCCTATTAAAAAAAAAAATCAAAGTCAAATAGATATACCATGTTTATCCTTAAAAAAATATTTTATATTATTGAGTATGCTAAGGTCTTTAGTATTAGATTTGAGATCTAGATATCACCAACTACCAATGAAAAAAAGATATAGATATAAGATAGCGTTTTAGATAATTAATGGATTTAAAAACTATAGATTGTATAAAAAGAAGTTTCTACCATTTAGATTTAAAAATATATACTTAATAAATTCTAAAAGATGATGAATAGAGTGCTTAGAAGATTTCCTTTTGTGAGATGTTACATTGATGGTATTCTTGTTTTTAATAAGTAAAAAAGACATTAAATATATCTTAAAATGGTGTTACAGTGCTTAATAGAATATGGGCTAAAGTTGCATCTTAGTAAATGTATATTCTTCCATTTACATGTGGAATACTTGTAGCATATGATTTATCTAAGAGGCTTTGGCATTGTGAAGAGTAAGATAGAAGCTTTGACAAGCATTTTAGGATCCAAAGATATGAGTCAATTGAGAGTTTTTTTAAGATTAGCCAACCATTACTAAATTTTTTTTTCAGATTTTGGTCGTATAGCAAAATCTTTAATTATACTCATAAAAAATGATCAAAAGTAGATATAGAGTAATAAAAAAGAACCGGATTTTATAGAACTTAAGAATAAATTGGCTAGTGCACCAATTCTATAAAGACTTATTTTAGGGATGTTATACAAGTTGTATATAGATTAGAGTATTTTAGGGATTTGAATTGTCTTCACTCAAACAAATGATGAACGCAAGGAAGTTGTAATTGCTTATGCCAATAAATCAAACAATAATACCAAAGCTAAATATAATTCATATGAAGGAGAATCTTAATGTACACTTTAAGCAATAGCACAATTTTGATTTAATTTGTATGGTAGTGAATTTTTCTTAGTAATGGACCATCAATCACTTAAAACACCTATAGAATTTGAAAAATTAATTAAATTTTTTGATGTTTTAGACTTTCTTTGCATGTTGTTATATCTTTATGGTATTTGGACGTGGTTAACTTATATTATGTTATAGTAGATTTATTTGATTAGAGATGTTTTATCACATATGTTAATAAAAAAAAAGACCTAATTGGCCTTCATTTTATTGGAAATCTTTGACTACTTTGACCTATTGCTATTTTTGTTTTAGTGGTATTTGTGAGTAATTTTTTCACCTACTTTTTGATTGTAATAGATATTCAACTATTGCTCAAATCAAGTGTGGATTAGTGCTTTTATAGCGTGGTTATTAATATTGCCACTTATACTCTAAAGATATATATTCATTTTTTTGAATATGCTAGTACAAGCATAGTTTATATAGATTCTAGACCATAAAATGTGCTATACATATAATATAATAGTGTACAAAAAAATTGATAGATTTTTTTTTTTTTTATTTTTAAATTGACTATTCTTTAGAAATAAATAGAATAAAAGAAGATTTCTTGATTTATTAAATAGTAATATATTAATAATTTTATTTTTAATTTTTCATATTGAATGGCTCTTGTAATCAAATAGAAAATAAAACCTAATAGACAAGGTAGCAAGCTTGTCCAAGCAAACACACCTCCATTACAAAAGAAAACACCAAAATTCATTAGTTTGATAGAGTGAGAAAATGAATACAAATTATTTTTATTTTATTTGATATTATTTTGCATACTTTGATAGAGAGATATTTTGGATATACTTGAGTACAACTTGGCATGCCATGCTTTGGTAGTGCATTATTTTGTATAATTGGATACAACTTTTGCCATGCTTTTGTAGTGTCGGGTCATTCTGAACAGATTCTACAACCTGCTTCATTCAGACACAGGGGTGTGAAAATTGAACAATCAAGTGGAAGCCATCTAAATGGAGGAGGTGGCAGTTTCAAGCATGTCTTACTTTCTTCTGGAGAGCCCTAGAAGCATTGCAAATCTCCACTTTTAACCTAAAGTTTATTACTACGATACGATTAGAACACACATATTGGTGAATTGACATCACAGCTACCATTATAGAATCGAGACATCTCGATTCAATTCCAGGTAGTCAAAGAAGCTCAGTAGTCTAGTTGATCCGGGTGCAATTATCTGGGATTTCACGGAGATACTGTATTGCATAATCTGAATAAAATACAACGTTTGACTGCAAGAGACTTGAAAGGGTTTGTTATCAGATTGTGCATGTGCCATGCACTTGGAACAAATGGATTCGTAATCGACTTTAATCTCTCGATGCTGTAAAATGCATTCTCCAGAAGCACAGTCAGATTGCTTCACCATGTTGTAGCATGACGGAGGGCTGCATGTGTAGTTGGACCATTTGCTGTGTGCATGCGGTCCCACCGAATCCCATCAGGTGGGTCCGAAATCAGCAAGTTCGTCACTACCAATCATGCCGACCAAGGAACACGAACGCATTTCAATGAAAGAGAATTTTTAGTAGATATGCTAAGTTGACCATGAGCTCGTAACAAATGTCTCGATTCCCAAATATGCAACTCTCACAACACTCTTTGAATGATTAAAGACATAACCCTCAGCCTGAGTGAAGCTGCAGCAGCTTAGCACGGCGTTTGCTTCTAGAATGATCACCTAATTTGATACTCACAGCTGCCCGAATTAATCGCTGTGAACCCCAACTTGCCGGTCAAAGTCTACCGCTAAATTATGTGCTACTTTTGTCGACACTTTTGACATTCAAGATCACGCACCACCAGCTTGGTGTGCGCTAACTCGACGTCGACCACTCGAAGAAAACTGTGACTCAAGGCTGCTGTGTCCAAACAATAAACCTCGTGAACAAGGCTGCCCCCTCGCTCGATGGGTTCACCACCGAAGAGGTTTACAGTCCGCGAAGAGAATCTGAAACCACCCTGAAAATCCGATATTGCTCCTACATCGACCGATTCTCGAAATCACTAACAACAATCTAGTCGACAGAACGCATGGAACTGGCGATGAAGCGGGAAATGCGAAAATAAGGAATAAGTCTGATGTGAGCCCAGTTGGTTGCCGATAATATTCACCAACAAAGCCAATGAGAGAGTTTCAGTACAGGCAATATCGCTCTGTTCGACCCTGCAAATCCAGGACCACAATGTTCGCAATTGGGAGCAGCTGAGGCTGGTTTTGGTAGCACTTGCCTGACACTACGTGGTACTCGGAGGAAGTTTTGCCACCTCTCAAACTGGCATGTCTGCTTTAGCAAAAGCTGAGATACTCATAAGGAACCATCCGCTTCGGTCATGGAAATGGAGCGGTTTCTACAGTTTCCTCAGTTCTTTCATTCACTGCTTGGCCTTGTCCAGCATGTGCACTTCTCTGTTCTGCTGCATGTTATTAAGTATTATACCGATTTCGAATGCGGTGTGAGTGAAACAGTGTGACAAGGTTCATGTACAAGCAGTGGAAGTTCTTCAATCGACCATCGTGGTCTTGTTCAGATTTTGTGACAGTCACTTGAGGATCAAACTCTACAGCCAACCAAAATCCACCATGAGCCACTACCATAAGTCTCCAAGCCACAGAGTATCATCAATTCCCTATTCCACGCGATGAGTTGATCACAATTACAGGAGACTCAGCAGAGAAGTAGGACAAGAATCCCGGACACAAACAGTGGGCCCCAGCTGATCACGCAACACCACAATAAGCAATGTAACCATTTATCGACGGAGCCGAAGATTGCGATCTGGGTGAGTCTCATCGCATGCTTTGTGCGGGAAAGGTCCCCAATGTAGGTTGTGACAGCGTGAGAGGGCTTCGGTCGATCACGAAAAGCTACTGTCGAGCCGATGCGAAGAATCCGTCGTGGCTTGTGTTGTGTGAATTCGTCATAATGCAACAAGATGGGAACTAAGAACAGTAAGGTTCTCGCATTTCAGTGAAAGAGAACCAGACACCGCAGCACAATGCGGTTTAAAAGGCGATGATAGAAACACGAATGATTCGGCTTGTGAATTCTACGCATTGCAGCGGGATTTGGATACAGTCTCCCACCTCACTGGCTTACCAGAGGAGGTTTATAAAGTTCTTTTGAGCACTTGGGCACAAATCGTACCGCAGATCCTGTGAAAGAGAAGAGTTTCAACCAACCTCCAACTAGATAACACCGAGATAATACACACGTTTTCATGGACAATAGTTGGTAGTTCAGTGGCGCTCAGGCGTTTCTTTTCTTCATCGTGAGAGACATGCAGAGCAGTTTCAGTAGCTCAAATAGCAACAACACTAACAAGAGCGACGTGTAATTTGAACACAAAGGCAGCGACTGATTGAATTAGAAACGGTGGTACTGAGACAAGGGCACTCAGCTTCCCCTTCATCCAGTTAAGCTGGACTGTCGCAACTGGTAGGGTGGTTGAATCCCATAGAATGTAAATGCTCTCCTGAAACCCACCCCTCCCACCAGCGACGACAGTCCCGTTTAACTGAGCAGAAGGATTAAGTGCCCCTTGTACAAGCCCTTGATTATTAGTCGAAGAATTTTATGGGGAATACTGTGAAACAAAACTGCTTGAGGGTATATAGTATTATTACAAGGTATCACGAGAAGTGTTGTAGAAGAATCTGTAGACCAGCATTGCCTATTATCGGTTCGTCGATGGCTGTTTTGGATAGATCATGAGTCGATGCAGTGGAGGAGAACCGGCACCACCAATTCTGGACAACTCAGCTGTGGCAAGTGACCATCAGTTTGCAAAATATCTACGGATGTCCACCCCCCTAGGTTGCATCGCAGGTACTCCGCCACTTCAATTGGCACGGCAATGTCTTTGCGAGATTGAACAATGTGACATGGTACTGTCACCTGTGCATCATCAGCCATTACAGCTCTTTGATTAGTAGAAAACAACTTGACGGAAAAGAAAAATACTAGCATATTCCTGATAAAACTCAGAGACGATGCCACGCATGAGGATGTCCTCCACCTTTCCTGTGGATTCATGTCTTACCTCGGACAAAATGCTTCGAAAATCACTTTGAAATACGAATTGGGAGGTTCTAAGAGCGACGTCTGGTCTCATTGAGATGAAAGTGCTGCTGAATTCTTGCACTGCTTCATCGTGAATATCAGTCCCAACAGCCGCTGTTGCAAAACCCGAAACCCAAGCACTGAAGTTCGACCTCATGCTGGAAAAGAGCTGATCGAGATCCTCCTGCTCAAATCCTCCATAATAAGAAGAATCGTTTAGGTATCTGTTCCAGGAAGAGCCAACAATCGTTCTGAGTAACCATTTCATTGTGCAACCCAGACTGGAGGCAAATTCATTAACGAGTGGTGCAACCAGCTGCATGTAAAGGTTCTAGATGTTACCTCGGGGATGCGGATAGAAGGATAAGCTTCCGAAACAGGTCAGGCCGTTCGAGGGAAGCTAGAACACCAATCATTCCTGACATTGAGTGTCCCACATACACACAGTTTTCTATTTCCAGCTCGTCGAGAATAGCCAACAGATCATCAACGTGTCCTTGAAGTGAAGAGTATCTCTTAAAGTTGAAGTCAGAAGTCTCGGTAGAACCCGCTCCCATCGTGTCGTAAAGCACAACTTGGAAGTTCTGATTCACCAAAGACGGCACAGTGTACTTCCACACTGATTGGTCGGTTCCAAGGCCATGCCCCAGCACCACGACTGGATCACTCCTGTTGCCCAGCACAGTAACATTGTGCGTGGAGAGCAACGGGCTCGGCATCTCTTCGAGGCAGTTGGAAAGAAAAAGCGAGAAAACAATCTCCTCTCTGTGCTTCAGATTCAGCGACTGAACAGGTTGATGGTGTACTCCATGGCTTCTGTCCACACCAGTGCATCCGACACACAATAAATTCATGAATTCTTCCTTACAAGATAACGAATTACCATGCACTGAGTATGAATCTCTCTTTGAACTGATTCAGCAATAAATTTCTACAGTGTTGCTCAATGTAGATTGTGAATTAGAATGCGTATATCAATGGTGGGTGATAAGTTATATGGTATCATCGAGCAATATTGCTCTTAGACTTTGAACCCACGTAACATGAATTTAGCTAAGCTCTGTTGTAAACCTCAGTTGCAAGTTAAATCTGCATCAGAGGCAGTCAGAACATTGACAGTGACCATGTCATGTAAGGTGCATATGTACTTTTACTCAGCATGTTCGTTTACGGAGCACCGCTTTGAATACTTCTATTACGCAATGAATCGGAGATATCGACCAGGATGTTAGATGAAAAGCACATTGGTCTTCGAAGTGCTTCATGAAGAATAACTAAAGAAGACAGGAAGGATTTCACTAGCTAGTCTGTAGGCGAATTGTCAGTAGAAGAGACCATTGAAGCGTGAATTTAAAGTTGCAAATTCCATAGTAAACTCATGTGAACAAGCACCATGAGCTCAGGCAGTGTTTGAATGAAGTGAAACCACATACGGCTCCTCCTGCGAGGAAACCTCACAGCTCCAAACACCATCATTCAACAACAACAACAACAACAACACACCATCACAGCGAGAAACGGTCACAATCAGACGTTTGAAGCGCACGGTGCAGCTGAAAGAAGAGGAGACACATGACACTGCTTTAATAACCACTGAAAGAATATGGTGCTTCTCAGAGGGTTTAGGGATCAGTGTGGTCTTTCTCACTTGCAGACGCCAGTCTGGTGGAAGATGCTCTTGACGTCAAGTTAGAATGAATCACGTCAAGTCTGGTGAGGTGTGTTTAGCGCTAAGTCCGCTAAAGATTTTTATCAGCGCAAGTCACATGCAACAATTGGTGGAGACTATGGTACATACCCGATGCAGCGAACGTCTCTCGTCTCAAACTAAGGAATAGTTGACGTCATAAGCAGGACTGAAAGGGGTCGTGCCGAAGCTCGATTTTGATGATAAGCACACCCCCGGAGGCAGCGAACACGCAAAAGGCGATGGTCGACAAGATGGAAGACAAGGCAGATGATGCAAGGGAGGCGTGCAAGGAAGGCGTGCAAGGAAACGGTGATCCCTGCTTTCTTAATTTATGTTCACGGGGAACTTGAAAGGTGAGTTGGCATTCAGATTGCCGTCGAATAGTTCAATGAATAATGGCTATTTCTGGATTTGTCTAGGCCTTTGAAAAGGTATCCCTTAGCATTTTCTGCCTCTATTCCTACACTTCAGCGCCTCAAATTCCACAATTTAACTTTCCGATCCGCATGTTGCGCGTTCTTATCTTTCTCATTCATTGACCGTAAAGTAATCCCATGACGTTTACTGGGACTTGGGAACAACACCCAACCTGCTACTGTAAAATTCCAACTCTGGTTCAAGGATCATCACATTCTAGCATAGCAGATCGTGTGATTGATTGAATCCCACTCTCTCCTCGACAGCGCAGTTCTATACCCGAAAATTCATGGTAGAGTACTGGAAACCATATTCACAAAGGAGGTGAGGAGAACTAATTACCGCATAAGCAATGACGTGGAATTATATTCTCCAGAAAAGAGACACCCTGTTGCGGACTGGGTTTTAGTCATGTGGTGCCAGAGATGTCATGTGCGCAACCATCTTCTAAGCGAGATTGCCAGGTTCACACACAGGGATTGAAAACTGACGAATTATTCCCTCGCAGGTAGAATCACCCTGAACTCGCAACCGGCCGAATGGAAGCCAGGTCCGAAGTTGCCGAATCGAACCATCCAATTATTTACATGGTCGTCGTTGCTCAACACCTGGATTTAGGCTATTGGCGGCCATGCAGATATCCAGTTGCTTTCGCAAGATTTTGTGCGTCGAACTTAATCAGTGTTTGTGTGAAGGGAACCGATGCAGCTGATCTGTGCAGATTCACCCTCAAAAGGCGATTCATTCATGAATGTAACCGGCGCTATTCTCCAGAGCTGAGCTTTTTCATTTAACAATTGCCGTAAAGGACCATCACTACCACGCAACACTCCCCTTTCTCGCCTGATCACCTCGCTGATTACGCTTCCCAGTGATTCCCGCCTGAGTGTGTTTCCCCCTATTTGATAGTCTTCGAATTCTTCTTTGGTCTGGCATTTATGCCTAAGATAATGCTCCTGTACGGTGTTTGTTACTTTTAGAAAAACATGACTACCGCAAAGTAATCCTTTCTTGTCGTTGCGTCTTACCACAGTACCCTACACCCACACCTAATCCTCCCCCCCACTCAATTAAATCACAACTGTAAATTTCGAAAATATATAGACTGTAAAGTAAACGGGACAGAGTGGTTGGCCTGTTCCAAAATAGGCACACATATGTTCTCGCCACAAGCGCATGTAGACAGATTGAAGCTTTTATTTAGATGGCTGGAAAGGGAATTCTGGTGAGCTCTTCAATTCTTTCAACTGACCTGTCAAGATTTGAGAGAGGAGTTGGTAAAAAAAGAATTTCTCCCCTCCTCTGGGTCCCAACCAGCAGCCTGGTTCGTTAGCTTCATGTTGCCCTGTCACACGATGCGAAATTAAAAAGCGCAACTATCCCATCGGAGCAGTAGAAAGCCTGCAGCACCCAATGAGATAGTGGCTTCGAACTCCTCGATCCTGTGGCCACACAATTTGCAGCCGCTTTCACGTGGCTTTCATGGATCTTCCGTGGATGTGTATAAAGTGTGCAAAAGTGAGATATGCAATGTCAATCAAAAGCGTCGTAGTATGATAATTAATATTATTATTAATATTATTTATATGATCTTTGTGCTTGTGGGCTTCATACACATGGTTTGGATTCTGGTGAGAAATTCTTTTGCATGGAAAGCGAAGACCTGCATCACGTTAAGTATCTAATGGATTGGTGTAACAGCAAAAAAGCAACAATGACATACCTTTATTTTGTTATTATTTTTCATTATTTTTCTTTTTTTTCTGTGTGTTTCTACTGGTGCGAAATTGGCTTAGTGGAATTGCCTGCCCAGCTCAGAATGTGATCCTCATCGGCTCACAACTGGCGCCCAGCGTTGCAGCGGAAACAACGTGATCAGTTCTTGATTATGAAACCATGCTGACCCATGCACGAACAAAGGCAATATAAATAAATAAACATATATATATATATATATATATATAGAACTGACAATAGAATCACAATCTTCCTCTCCGTACAGATCACACCACAAAACTCGTCAAAAACTTCTCGATTTAAGGATGGAAATGAAGAGTAGCATGAGTTGTGTCAACGTGCTTCCGGTTCCTATCAACTTCGATCCTCCACCATAATCACAGCCACGGGTGGCGTTGCTTCCACATTGAATTGAATGACTTCCACGATGGATGTTGGTGAATGGTGACAGTCGAAGCTGACTCCTCTCATAAGCCTTAGAAGCGGACCCTTCGAAGCTCCTTTGCGCCATTGCAACACTGCTGCCACGCATGGGCGCTGCTTTGCACTCTGGTTTCCCTGGATCTGTTTTTTTGTGTGAGCTCCGAGCAGTATTTTATAGGGCTATTATTTTTTGTTATCAACTTCGGCGTTGTCTCCGTGGCTCCTGACTCTACTCCACCCTCAATCCAGATTCTTCGGCTTCGAAGCAGACATACTCGGAAAGTGTTGATGCTGGACCCTCAACAGGATTGTGAAAATCATCATACTTGTGTGTGTAGAATGAAGGTTTGTAATGCCTGTGGCATCAGATTGAAGCTCTTGTTTGCGATGCTCGTTTGGGTGAATTTGATAATTAGGCTTTAATCACAAAGGTTGAGGTCATTAAATTGATCTTTCTCTTATCCTTCTGTCAAACCCCAGTTTTGGATTTCATTTCTGTCATGATAACTTTGATTTTGATCTTCATACAAATTGCAATTTTTTATTTTTTTGAGATGATAGTGCCTTAGAACATTATTGACGTGTAAGATATTGTACACAGCAATTTGGTGATCAAATGTTTTTGAAATCATTTCAGGTGTTTGTCATTGATGATTTTGTTGCAACGGATTAGAAATGTAAGTGGTTAACTATGTCCATTGGAGAACATACACAAAAAATAAATTTCACCAGAAGTACACATTGTGAGGCATGTTTATGTTGCTCATAAGAGAAAACTCAAAAAATCTATTGCTAACTCTACCACCTTCACTAAACTAGCTCTAAATTGGACCATAGCTAAGATTAAAGCCCATGTTCTCCCTTAGAATCCTCTACAATGTTGTAATACATGTTTTGTTTAAGAGCACATTAGATGTCTACCTCTAGAAGATAACTTGTATTTTGCAACAAACAAAGAATCTAATTTTTTTAAATAAAATTCTAAATAAATAATTATAAAACTTTAATAATTTTACTCAAACCTTAATAAAATTCTAATAAACCTTTATAAAATCATAAAGAACTAAAAGAAATCCTAAAAATATTCTAAAGGCTATATAAAAAAATAATATTTTTTTTAAAGAAACCTCAAAAAAAATCTTCAAAAATACATTCTAAAGAAACTATAAAGAAATTCTAAGGAATCCTTAAATAAATTCTAAGAACATTCTAATCAAATTCTAAGGAATCCTTAAATAAATTCTAAGAACATTCTAATCAAATTCTAAGTAAATCTTAATCAAATCTTAGGTAAATCTTAATAATCCTAATAAAATCCTAAATAAATTTTTTAAAATCCCAATTAAAATTTAACCAAATTTTAAAAAATTCTAATGAAATCGTAACCAAATTCTACATTAGTTTTAAAACCTCAGTAATTATTTGTCAAAATATAAATTTTATTTCAAAATTTCTATACATAACAATCTACTAGTCAACAACAAGCACAAGAAATTTGAAAAGAATCCAACTTACTAATTGGAAGAAAAGGATCCTAATTTGCTTGGATGTTGGCTGTTTTTTTTCCAACCTTGATTTTAATCTACCAATAATTTTATCTCATTTTTACATGGTTTAATTGCCCTAAAACTTCAATCTAATCATGAATTGATTTCAAGTTTACAAAACATATAAGAGGCAAGAAAATACACAATCCTACAAAGTTTCACCTATTAATGTGCTACAAGACTTACAAAACCTATAAATATATAAATTATTTTTTATTTTTCTAAATCCTAAATTGATTTAAGCACCTATATTTTTAAAAAGCCTTCAACAACTCAATATTAATCCAAATTACAAAAGATTAACATTTAAACAAATCTTGTAGAATCTCCTCTCCAATCTTATTTTTTATCAATAAAAGAACCTTGGAATTGCCATAGGTGTCCGACTTTTAAGAATTTTAGCCTTAGGATCTGATTTTGATCCTAATTCACAACTAGTCTTCTCCAAATATTAATTTCTAGCTTTTAAAGTAAATTTTTGCTAAAAACATATTTTTTAAATCTTTCTTAAATATGCTTATATTTTTTCTAATTCACTTTGTTATATCTTATTAATGGTCTTTAAAAAATCTTTGATAATATTATTATATTTTGAATAATTTTAAAATAATTATTAAATAATCATAAATATATTTTAATCAAATTTTAATAGCCATTTTAGTATTAATTTTGAGTTAATATTCACTCTTTTTGGGTTATACAAGAGTATATTAAGTTTTTTGATTCTTCAAGATTCATGTCCTTAACACCAAGATTTCAATCCACTTTAGTTTCAATAATCCTCAAAATAACCATTCAATCAAATTCAAACTTATAATATACATTTGCTACAATTATAATCACAAATCCACAAATTTTCAACTGTAGATCCACTATAAATCTTATAAAATGCTTCAAATTATGAATTCTTTTTATTTCTCAAAATCCACAATTATTCTATGACAACCTTAACTTTATAAAGCTCTTAGAAAGTTACAAACTCAAATCACTTAAAACTAATGTTCAAAAAATCTTATTCTAGTTTGAATTCAAATCTTGCTCTTCAATCTATCAAAAACCTTGGATTTGTTGTAAGGACGTGGTTTTATACCTCATAGTCAAATTTCATCCTATATTGATAATCAATCTTCTTTAGGTATCAACATCTAATTTTTCTAGGTAATTTTTTTTAATCAAAAATCACTATTTTCTTTTATTTTGTAATATTGATGATATTAATTTTTTTTAATTCTACTTTTTGTCTTATTTATGGCTCTACAAAGTATATG